CTTGACCACAGGTTCTTATTAAATCTGTATACCAATCTCTTCAAAGTCTCCCAGGCCCAGCTCAAACTGGGAAACAGTGCCTGAAGTATTAACTCCCTCTGCTCCCCCCAGGCGAGGCGGGACACAATAATTAGCCTGGGAAGGGTCCATGAACCACTGCAGTGTGATCCACATCTTTACAGACCTGTTATGCATTATGGATACCAGCCACAGCAGCACAGGAGCTGCCACTCCAGACATGGCCCTGCTCTGCAGGGACAACATGACAAGCCATGAGAGGAAAAGCTCATGAAAAAAGCTGAGAGGAACAGAAGTTTCACATGTCCCCATTAACAGCACTGGAGTTAAAGAAGCTGGGCACTCCTTGGGTGTCAGAAGTCTGACACTGCTGCACACACCACTCTCACCTAACTAAAATCCTGGTTCACTGCTAGCGCAAGGTCCTTGTTGTCAGAAAGCATAAGGTAATCTTCAAAGAGGAACAGCTGAACAGCAGAGAGAAATGCTACCCAGGCAAATCAAAGCAGAGCTCTGGAACAGTCAAAGGCACCTGTGATTCTACTCATTAAAAGTCATCTTGCCTTTCAGCAGCTGTCCCAAGATACCAACAGAATCAAAGGCTATATCTCTTCCCACTACCTACATGGAGAATATCCATGTCATTTCCAAATACAGCTTAGAAAAGGGTTTAAAGCAAGAGATTGTTCCTTTTGGGGGTTCTGGATCAGATAATGATAATGGATTGCTCATAGGATGAAAGATCCCCATTCAAATTCCTAGCACAGGGGAATATGCCTGGTTTCCAGGATGGTGAGAACTGCCAGCAGGTCTGTTTCATCCCAACACCAAAAAATCCAAAGGTCAACTTTTGCAGAACTTGTTTCCTAACTTTTCCTTAGCCGGTTGCTGCTTTATTCCCACGTCCAGCTCCCAGCTAAATAGCCATGAGATGACAGCAGCTTTTGGTCATTTGGCTTGGCTGAGTGTGTGGGCATAAATCAACAGGCCACTCCACAGCTCATTTCCAATAATTTATTTTGAGTCCTAATTGTATCCATTTGGAAACACTGAATATGATGCAAAATGGACAAACACATACACACACACACACCAGACCTTTCAAAAAAAGATCACAAATGTTTCACAGTTTCTTCCTCAAGCTTAGGTTAAAAAAAAAACCCAGAACTCAAAACATCCCACTCTCCGGAGCCCATTGCTCTTCACATCATCCTTAGAGGAGTTCCATAAAGACAAGATCTTGGGAGGCTGAATTCCCACATTTCAGAAAGAACCTCACCTGTCTGCAGAAAGATTTTTGCTGTCCAAACATCCTGGTAGTGGGGAAAAGAATCCTAGGTAACTGTAAAATTTTTCACTGAAAGGAATACATGAAAACACATCCATAATCACACACGCTTTCTGCCCTAATGAGGCAATATACATTCATATAGAAGGAAAAAACCAAGCACATTATTAAGACATTAGGCAGTGAGGCAGTATCCATTTTAACTTCAGAAGAAATTTTACAGCAAATGGTTTCATTAAGACACTTGAAAGCAACCTACTTTGAAAGGAAAAAAAAGCACCATCATAGCATGAAGGCTGAAATGTGATTAGGAGTCACAAGCAGCACCAGCTCAGGCTCACCAGTGACTTCTGTCATTTAAGGACAAGTTAAATGGAGAAACAGTCGATGTGGGGACCTGTGACTTGCCTACAAAAAACCACAATGCAGGAAGACACAGTTAGAGAGTGCCAAGCCACTGTTTACAGGCTGTATCTAATGGTGCACAGTTCTTACTACAGTCACCAAACAGTAGGGTGCTGGCATTTGGACATGGAGGGTTTAACACTACAACAGCAGCAACATCAGAACCCTGGCCCTTTAAAAGCTGCCTGGTCTGCAAAGTCCACACTATTTGTGAAACAACAAATGCCTCTTAAAAGGTCATGGTTAAAGCAGGATAAACTAATTTCCAACTATGGGCTAGCTATTACCAAAATCCTTCCCTGCTGCTGATCAGCTCTAGGTCCTCTCTTACACAGGAAAACTTTTCAAGGGTCAGCAGGTAAGGTTTTCTGCACTGCCAGGCACGCAGTTTTACAGGTAAGACACTGGTCCTGCCCTCGAAAATGCCACACACGACCCACAAGTCACCTGTCAAATGCAGGTTGTTCCCACTGCTCCAACCCCCAGGCAGCACAGATCTAGGCAGCTATTAACACAGCAAGCCCGAGGACTGACTAGGCCTAGATTTTAACATTTTTCTACCAGCGTGGTCAATAACAAGCTCGGCAAAAAGTTACTCAGAAAAAAAATTGTCCTTTAGTGCACCAGATCACAACTGTTTGCCCTTGCTATAACTGCAAATGGGAGAGTTGCCCTTCAAGTGTTTCCTGCTAATTCTCAGGGCTGTTAAAAGGAGAGCTCCAAAGTATCCATCCTTTTAAGATGCCTTTTAGATATATCATGTTACTTTATGCTTCCCATCTCCCAAGGCATTCACAAGGTAAATCCTCCCAAGAAGAAGATATGCCATTTAAGTCACCACTGCTATGCAGATTACAGCCATTTGAACTTCCTGTTCACTGGGGAATCAGCACTGCATTCTCCTCCTAGAAAAAGGTTGCAAGGCTGGGGTTTTAAGTGTCCCGAATAGTTTCAGTTTCCCCTGGAGTGCAAAATTAAAATTTACTTTAGCACTGAGCCCTCACTGTACTTGAGCGAGCTTGAACAACATATGGAATGGTTACATTAGTCCCAGGTCCTCCATTCCTAATCTGCACGCCAAAATCCATGCTGCCTGGGAGAACAGCACAGAGAGTCTGTGCAAGAACAGCACAGAGTGCAAGCAGTTCACTAAGAGAGAAGGGACAAGGCTACACTGACACACAGGCTGCAAGGTAGCAAGGAATCTCTGCCTGTAGGAGAAAGCGAGCACCACAGGGTCAGCGCTGCCAGGGAAATGATCTGCGATCTGCTCTGCTTTCTCCCAGCCAGGAGTAGCAGGACTCTGAGAAACCACTTATCTCAAACCTGCAAATGCTTCCAGAGCCTGTTCAGTTCGTGGGCACATGACTGACTTCTGTGCATACGGGGACAGAGAAGTTGGCTGTCTCCACTGTAGGGGTTCGTTTAGCCCAGGAAGTCATTCTGCCTCATATTCCCTAGCGTCAGCAGGATGCAATCTAAGATCACAAACCTCCTAGCCCACAGCATCCTTGTCTCCAGGGTTGCCAAGCTCCAGTTCATCTCAGCAGGCATCACAAAATGCATATGTGCCATGGAAACATTTACAGAAAACTCATGTGGAAACATGGACTTTGTGTCAATTTGTACTCCTAGGGACAGGCTCCAACAACCAAAGAGAAGGTTGTAGAGGAACAGTCTGTACAGTCTAGCTGGGTGTCTTTTTATTCACATTAGGGCCAGGGAAGCAGTCAGAAACCTCTCAGTGTATTTGGTTAGAGGCAGGAAGCAAGAGAGGTGTCTCTTTACCTACTTAAAAAGGATTGCTCACTGGATGACCAGAGGGCAAGAGGAAATAAGGGAAACTCCGGTAAGTCAGTAACTCTGCACAGACACATTCCAAGTGCAGCTGCTCATCCATTATCTGCTGGTTATGGAAAGTGCCACTTAAGGAAACCAAACAGTGCAAAGAGGGACACGGTCTCTACATTAAACTGGGACACGTAATCAATAACATACACACCAAATACAGCAGGGATCTAAAGGGACACCCCCAACCCTGCTTTCTTTTGGCACCATGTACAGTCCATCCACCCTTCAAAGCTAATGCACAGCAGCACACAGAATTTGCATCACTCTGCCAACATCCCCCAGCTGCCTGCCATGCAGATGGAGTCAGGAGCAGGCATGATCTATGTCTCCTGCACACACATCTAAAAACATCAGTAGCCAGGACAAGGCTCTTATCTCTGCTTCTGCATCTCAGTTCCAACATGTAACTCTTGTGCTGTGGTCTCCAGCTCTTCCAGCCAGACCTTTCACTGCAGGGCCTATAGCACACATAAAGGGTTTAAAACCAAAAGTAATAATAAATTCCAGCCGCAAAAAAGCCAGAAACCATTTCCATCAAAACCTTGTTATTTCAGCTGAAGCTCAAGTCCAGGTAATAATACAGTTCTAGGCTAATGAGAAACAAATGGCTTTCTTGCAGAGCACATTTAACACGTTAACATTCACCTGCCAGTACAGGTCATCTATCCCCAAAACAGAGACCTCCAACACATCCTCTTCCTCTCCCTACATACACAGAGGCTGATCTGTTCCTTGGCTTCTTGGCTTGAGAAAACAGATCTACAGTCAGGTAGTTCACAGTAACTGTGTTGATGGCAGATGGGATCACTATGTTATTAGCAACACAACTGACCAAATGCTACCTACCAAAACAGTTAGTAGGACTGCCTACTCTCCCACAGACTGCCTTATCCCATGATGGAGGGGGAAAGGTAACTTCCATAAAGCTACAGTAACACTAGACAGACAGCACTCTTGTTTTGCCCTCAGAGTTCACTGTTGCATATTGCTTCAAAACATCTCCTTGGTATATTTACCCCCTGTTTCAAGTCACAATCCATAATCAGAGCAGAAACACTTTGAAGGAGATGAGCCAAGCCTTCAAACCAGCACAGACCCAGCCCTACAGGAATGTAACTCACAAAGGCACTTAATAGAAGCATGTACACAGCTGGATGGAATAAGAGATAGTAAAAACAAATAAATGCACCAGAGAGGAGAGCACTGCCCAGTGACTGCCTAGACAGTCTCTTTTAGCCAGACAGCCTGGCTTCTGCAGGGGTCCATCTGTTATCTGTATCCAAAGTTCATCCTCCTGACATCTCCAAAATGCTGCATGTAGATACAAACCAGGGATTCCTCCACCTTTGCAGGAACCAGTGCATGCTCTGAAGCCCAGCAATGGGTTCCTCATTAGGTTCACACCTAATGAAAACTCAAGTTCTCAAAATCTTGTGCTCTTCTTCCTGTTTCCCACGGTGGAAAAAGGCAGTAGGCTCCTTCTCTCCATGTTTGTGCATATGGCTTACTGCTTTGTGCATCCTATTGCTGGCTGACAGCACACGAAGAACCAACCATTCTGCCTGGGAAAACCTCTGATGTCGTCAGTGGGGGGACAGGTAGCCCATACACCGCCCACAAAGGAAGGGTGTGCGAGAAAGGAGTCCTAGTGGAAGGGGCCACTCCCCTGCTAAAAAGAGTCAGTCAACATCATCTGCAGAAAGAGGGGTGTCACACGATGTCTTCGGCAGAGCGCTGTGGAGGAGAAGACCCCAGGCTCAGGAAATGGCCCCAGTTGCATAGGAACCCCCTGTTATACTGGCCAGTGTCTATCACTAACCCACCCAGGAGTCTGCGCCCAGTGTTGTCCCGCAGAGCCAGCCGAGCTTCCCTCTCGGTCACGTTGTAGCTGATGTTCAACAGCTGGATGAGGAGGATGTATCCCATGCCAGCTGTTACAATGGCACAGTACCATACACAGGTGAACGACAGAGCAGAGCTGGCAGCAGGGAAAAAGATGGGAAGGAAGCCATTTAGTTTTGGAGCAGCTGTTTTAGAGTGACTTTCCCTGGTAATCACTATCCTTTCAAATCCCTGTCTACATCTGCCACAGTGATCTCACTTTGCTGCTTTCATCAGATAATCCTTTAAGGCTTTCTCAAAATTAAAGCTTCAGGACTCACTTAATGAGGGCTTTTAGTGCTACCAGAGTTACTCCTGCATATTGCTATCTCACAACCTAGCTCTTTATTCTTCCTGCTGTAAAGAACACAAGGATGCTCACACTCAACAGGTCACGAGATGGAGTACAGAGGAAGGTAGAGTCATTTGTTCACCAGCCCTATGCTCTGCTCATCAGTGGTAGTGCTGGTCTCTGAACTCATGTCCAACAGTTCTCAGCACCTTCCCTACTGAATAAGGCATGTTGATGCTGTCTGTTCTAAACAGACAACTTGGAGGGACAGTCACTTGATAAACAGGGAGGAATGAGAGGGAGAGACAGCACGTGGATTCCTGACTGTCGTTACCTGCATCTGGGGACACACATTTAAAGGGGTATCTACAGAAGACACAGTAAATAAATACTTCAAATCACAGCTCCTCCAACAACTTTTTCCAAATAAATGGTGAGCTCTCTCCAAGTCTCAGGCTGCCTACCTTGGCAAAAGCAGTGATGCACCTTTGCTTTCCAGAGTTTTTTAGGGAGCACTTTTTGGTCAGGTTTGACAGCTAACAGGAGCTAAGCTGTCTGACCAAACCTGTTCCCACCCCAGCTCTCTCCCAGACATCTCACCTGTAGTCAGAATAGGCCCCAGGGCAGTAGAACAATGCCACAAATGGACTTTGGCCCCTACAGACGGTGTGCAGGGTCAACATAATCCCATACACAGAAGTGAGCATGAAGAAGGAGAGTGCAAGGATGAATGCTTGATGGTTCTGCTCCCCTACGCAGCTGTTAATCCTCCAAAAGGAAAGAAGAGATTACTTTGCTTAAAAAAAGAAAAGAAACTGGCTTCTCTTCCTCCTCCCTCCCCCCAGCTGTCAGAGAACCTAATTTCCAAGGTGCTTCCATACAACACAGGCTAAGAACTTTGAAATATGTTCAAAGAAGCTTTAGAGATTTTTATAGAGAAGTTATAAGCACAAGTCAATAGACTGGCAGCAGACTGTTTGCCTCGAGTTTTTAGCAAGTTTATCCTTTGCTGAGACACGTCATACCCTACTGTTCCTTGTAGGGTATGATCATACCATCATACCCTTACTCCAGTGCTCCTTCCAGCACTGCATGCACACAGGCAGTTTTGAGTTCCCTCCCCCCAGGAGAGTACTAATAACCAAAAAAACCCCAGAGTCATGAAAGCCAGTGGAAAACTAAAGGCAATTCTGGAGCGTGCTGTAGAAATTATTAGCTATCAGGTCAACCCACTTAGAATAAACAGTGCTTCTAACTATTCTTTAAAGGGGAAATACAAAGCTTTTTATATTTAAAGAACGTTCCCAGGTCTTGCACATAGCAAAAGCGACCCTGTTTGACAGGGACTGAAAAAAAAGAAGCTAACTCTAGAAAGGGGGGAACTCAGAGAGAGAACACGCGTAGCCTCAGCAGTGCAAAACCTACCAGACGCAGTGATGGTCCAGTCTTCTTACACACCTGCCACAAAGCCTGCAGTGCCCTGCTCGGGCTGGCCTGACCAGCTGGCATTTGGTGCACCAGTCCTTTTTCACACCTTCTGGCTCATCAGCTGCCATCCTGGTATAGCCTTTGGCCTCCCCATTCACAGCACGACTGCTGGCAGCACCATGGAGCCCGCTGGAGCTCCCTCTAACACTCCTGTTGGGCAAGACCTGGTGCGATGGCTTCTCATTGCCTGCTGGAATGGGAAGGTAGCCAGGGTCTTTCTTGGCTCGAGACAGGGCTGCGAGCATAAGGATTAACCCGCAGGTGAGAGCGACCACTTGGGAATGCTGCACGTGGCCCCGGGGAACCACCTCCTGGAGGAACACATAGTACATGTAGCCCAGGGAGAAGAGCCCCAGGCTCAAGAAGAAGAGGGTCCGCTCCTTCCTCCGGTGGGTGAGATAGTAGTACCAGAGCACCACCACGGGCAGGGACGTCAGGACCAGGAGCCCCAGCAGGAAGTGCAGGGCGGCAACGTGGAGCAGCACGGGCAGCAGGACGAGCGGCGGCACGAGGCTCACGTTGATCTTCACGGCCCCCGAGAACCACGGGACCCGCAGCCGGTCCGCGATGGTGTCGGCGATGCTCTCCAGCGCTCCCGGGGGCAGGGATTTGCACGCCAGCCACCTATGGAGCGGGGAAGCACAGCGCCGGCTGGCACCGGGGCACCGCGCCCCCCGTGCCCTTCCCCTGCCCTGCCCCGCTCCCGGCGCCTCCCCCTGCCCTCCCTCCCCACAAGTTTCCACGGGAAGCGGGGCGCAGTCCCCTGCTGCCACTCGGGACGGGGACAACGCGCGGGAACGGATTCCGGCAGCTGGGCGGCCGCCGGGGGGTCCGCGGCGCCGGTAACCTGTCGCAGCCCTCGTCCAGCTCGCTGGCAGTTCACGCACAGACACGCCGCCAGGTGGCTGCGATGGCCCCGGCGGTTCCATACTCGCAGCAGAGAGCGGCTCGTCCATCGCCGCCCGCGCCGGGCGCTCCCGGGGCCGGAGCCCCTCCGCCCGGCAGCTGCCGACCGCAGGTGCCGCGCGCACCGCCGCGCCCCCGCGCCACGCGCGGCCCGCCCACCCGCAGTGCCCAGCCAGCCATATGGCCGCGCGCGCCCGCAGGTGTGCGGGGGGGCGGGGCCCCAGACGGGGGCGGTGGCCCAATGGCGGCACGGGGGGGCGGGCCGCGCGTGACGCGGGGCACCTGCCTTAAAGCAGCGCAACAGGTGGCGGCCGTGGGGCGCGGGGGCAGCGCGGGGGCCCGGCCCGGTCCGCCCGGCCCGGTCCCGCCCCGCCCGGCGCCGCCGCTCCCGAGGCTGCGCTCACAAGGCTGGGAGAGTCCCCTACCTGCCACCCCGCGGAGGGCTGTGGCCCCAGGACTCTGTTTGTGGGACCCACACGCGCAAGCCGCACCCTACACCTACACCCCTCCCTGGGCTCGCACCACACAGCCAGCGCTGTCGCACAACCATGGGCCACCCCGCGGGCAGGCTGGCTTTCCAGTGGCTTTGGGGTTTTTATGTTCATCTTCTTCCCTTTAACTCGCCTAGAAAAAGCAGGTTTCATGTGCTTCAAGGTGTTTCATCATCAGTGGGCTCACGGCGCTACAGAGCTGAAGCACAGACCTCGATGGAGGGAAAATACCGAGGGCTGAAATTTCTCTGGGAGAGCTGGAAACATATGGCAGAAGGCAGACTGCCAAAGCTTGCAGTGTGCAACAGATATCAAGCTTTTTCCTGTTTATTAATCTTAGGCATGTTCATCCTTAGAATGGTGCGTCGTTTTAAAAAGGTCCCCACGGCTAAAAAAAATCATATGAAGATCCTGTGGCTGAGAAACCACCATCGTTCTTTTTCTCCAAAAGACTCTTCACTGATGGTGATTTGCTAAGCTGACATAAAAAGATGTGATTTTCTCGAGACAAGCTCTGCTCTCTGCTGAGGGTGTTCTCCCCCCTCTGGAATTTGCAGATCCATTAACCAGCAGTACAACTGCCCTTGTTCACTCACTACAGGATCCAAGAGCTGTGCACTGGTCGTAAGCAAGACCCCCCCAGGGTGGAGGGCTGGCAGGACAGAAAAGGCTGCCAAGCTATTGGGGAATGCAGAACCCAACTTACTTTTTCCACAAACCTTTATTCTGTACAGCTTTTGAGCCAAACAGTGAGGAGTCCAAAGGTGACAGTTACATTCCCTACCCCACAAGTCCTCACACACACATCTCCTCTTCCCATGTCTTGAACAAAAAGCTGATGTGGTATTAACTCTCAGTCCTGCTGCTCTGTGTCCTGTTCAAGTGGTCAAAGCTTCTTTGGAGCATGGAAAGGGAAGTCTTCAGCTGTGAAGACACAACCATCACAACCCCCCCCAATTACTTAAGTTAATCTCCTACATGGGTTAGTGGTATCAGGAAAATAATGTCTCCCTACTCTTTTTTTTTCCCCTCCAAGATTTCATGTGATTTCCTCCTCCCTGTTTCCATAAACAGTTGACTTACTGTGCACTCCTAACAGCTATATCCTGTACAGTTTATAAATAGTAACAGTCCAGGATGATAAAGTCTTAACACCTCACCAGACAACAGTGCAGAAGATAAGCCACCCCACTCAGTTTTAGTCACAGATAATGTTCATAGCAAATACTAAGGAACATGGCAGCAAAATACGAATTTTCTTTTAATACCTGGCCCTCCTTGTGCATTCTGGTGCACAAAATGTGTTTAGATTATTGACAACACTCAGAAAACACAAAGTAACAGGCACTGTGTCAGAACTTCCAGGCAAAAAGTGTTATTTGGGATGAAAAAAGTGGTGAAATTCTCACTTTTTTCTTTTTTTTTTTTTTTTTTACGCCGTGTGTTCAAAAGGCACTTAACACTTCAAAATTAGGAATTGTTTGGATAGTAAGCAGAGAAAATGAAAAGGGTATGGAAACCATGCTGTGATCAAAGTGGTTAATTAATAGATTAACGGCAATACTGTGTTTCTACCCACTCTTAATGCATACAAGAACACAGAGCAAACTGGTGATGGATAGAGGTACATGTGGACTTCCCTCACAGCTTTCCTAATATTCCATCACCTTTTAAGGTTTAATAAAGGAACTTAAAATCAGAACATTAATGGGTTGCAAGTTAAAACTAAAGCATGAATTACTGTCCCTCACTTACTGAGTTGAAATTTCAGCCAGAGATTTACCAGTCATAGACTTCAGGATCAGAGAGACAACAGCATTCAACAAGTTACTGTACAGAAGGATTAGTTCTATAGCTATGGAGCCCCTAACAAACATATGGTCTGCAGTTATTTATTTTTTACTGGAGATTAGGTGGCCCATTGACACCAAAGCTAAGTGAAGCTCTAGCCAATATCTAGAAGAGTAGTCAAGGAATCACGAAAACTTTAGTTAGTATCAGAGGACATCAAACAAAAGGTATGATAACATATGGGAGAAAACTTGAGTTGTTGAGAAACAAGAACATCACCAGAGAAAGACTGTCAGACCTACCTGCTCAAGCATTTCAATTGAGTCTCTTAAGACTCCCTTTACATGTTTAACCTGTTCCTTATCATACTGAGGGATCTCTTCTTTTGATACCATTTCTGGAGATATGCTGAAAAAGATTGAGATTACATTAGAAACATGAAACAAGCACCCTGACACCTTTTTAAAAACAACTGCTCTCTGCCACCCTTGCTCTGCCATTACCAAAACCATCCTTTTAGAAGAGCCACAGAAAAAGCTGCCTGCAGTTGAATTCCAATCCCTGCTGCCTTCAAGATACTGCTTCAGACCTTTGTAGACAACAGCCACTAAGAAAAAAAATGTGCTCACATTACATCTACAACAAGTTCTCACACTTCAGTGAGCAAAATCTTTCTTATAAATAAAGTTGTTCTAATCAGTTCTGAGATGGTCATTACAGGAGGTCACCACACCACTTCCAGACTCAACATCAGGTTATGGTTTTTAACTTATTTATTGATACTGTATTCAAGAGAGGAAGCAACATCTTCCTGTGTCCAAATACAAAAGGTATGCAACATGTAAGTTTAAGGGAAAGATTTGCCAGGAAACTCACAGAAAGAAGCTAACAAGTTAAATGAATCTTTAACATTACCTTTGAGATCATGCTGGTTCACACAGAATGAACACTTCAGTTCTGTGATATTCACAGAAGATGAGTCACAGCAGGGTGATAAATGCCAACTAAGGTTAATGTTCCCCAAAAACCAGCTTGTCAAAGGAGAAACTTGTTACTGCAAGATGCAGTCAGACATGTCCCTGGATCTCAACACAGACCACAGAAGTGCAGCAAGCCCCAGGAACTTATGAAAACTTGCCACTGAATTTCAGTGTTTAGAATTTATTTCTTTGGATCAGATTCTCACATAAGCTGAGGAAGAAAGCAAGCAAAGACTGTGAATTCAACTTACTTCAAAGAGCTTTCTTCCTGAAGCTGGACATGATAGAGGGACTGAGCTGCATGCTCTATCTTTGACAGTTTGAGAAACAGTGTTATATTCAGCAAGACCAAGAGCAGCAAACTGTAGAGAGAACAAAAATCAAGTCCTGTAAGAATTTCGGTTGCAATGCTAGAAAAACAAGATCTAGGCTAAAAACAGCTAAGGAAACAGAATCATTCTGGGAGAAAAAAAGGTGTAGGGCAGAACTATACTGAAAATAGAGATCTATCCAAACAATTCTTAGCAGTTAACATTAAGCTGTGGAATAGGAACAAACAGAAAGACCAATAGTATCTCCTCTAGGAACTTTTAAAACTAGGAATTAGTAAATTCTAGACTTTTTTTTTTTAAATAGGATCAGACCTAAGAAAATCTGTAAGTTAGAGTAGTTTGGCAAATCAGCATTTTCATTCCAAGTCATTTCTAAGTCAATTAATTCCCCTCCTATACCCAGGTATTCCACTCATTTGTTAAATTAGGTTAAGATCTATTATGCTACATGCAATGTTAACATGCAAAAGAGGAACAGACAAAAACAGATAAAGACTAAGATGAGCTTGAGTCAAGCCACATTTTAATGCAAGTGAGTACTTACAAGACACTCATTACTACAATGATGGTGGTGGTCCTACTTACTGCATCTCTTTTCCTTCCTATAGGGCATGGAAGAGAAGGAGGTTAAAAAGTACTGAAGAACATTCCTAAAGGATGCCTGCAGATATATGTCAGTGCCCAACACTTCACAGAGAATAGCTCAACAGCTTCTGATGGAAAAAAATAACAGATCATGTGGGTGCACAGGATCATCTCCAACATTCACCACCAAGGCATTTTTGCAGTCATCTCCAACAAGTCAAGCTGAACAGTCAGGCTCTCCCATCAGAATTCCCCCTACCCCAGTATGCTGGGCACAACACAGGACTGGGGCATGGTATCACTAAACATAGCCTGAGAAGGCTACAGTCCATCCATTACTAACATGCCTTCACCACATATACTGCTGGTCACACATGAGCAGAGACAGGCTGCAAAGTGGCTCTTTGCTGCTTGTTCTCATGCTCACATTAATCTTTCTGACAACCAGTGCCAATCAAGTTCTCCTGTGACTTGTCCCATCATTACTGGCTTGGTTTATCTATTGTCCTGAAGACAGCCTTTCAAAAGACTATCTGCTATTCATCAGGCACCAGGGACCAGACACTTGTGAGGGAGAGGAAGTGTGCATGCCCTCTCCAAACTGAGCAGCAATCACCTACCACGGTGGGCAGGCTGATCTTTAAATGTAATTACAGTTTCATACATTCACACCTCCTGCCTTGGACAAAGGACATACTCCAAAGTTGTAGTGTATACAGAGACAGACACATTCATCTGAAAAGGTGGAGCAGCAGTAGCAAAATTAAGTAATCAAGAAGTAATTTCAGATAGGTAAACAGTCCTTTACACATGCTGCTGATTCAAATATTCTCTCAGTGCTATACTCAGTGTTGCTTCTCCTTTCAGAGAA